TCCCAGACCTCACACACTGGGTTGAAGTGAGTGGTTTTGCCAAGACACAATCACCTCTGTGAGACCACATGCAAAACCTTGGCCAACTACGGGCCAAGAATCACACTGCAACTTGCTCTGTCCCCTTTTTCCTACTCAGGGTGGCCCAAATCTATCTCTGACATACAGAAACCTGCATCAGAGCTGGCCCATGTGTTGGCATCACAACACACAAATGGCCTTGTGGAGTCACTCTACTTTTTGGCAGGAGTGTCAGATGACAGCTCAGATGATAAAACGTGGTGGTTGCCCAGAAAACAATGACTGTGACCCAGAGAGAGACAGGTAAGGCAAACTCTCTTGAAGAAACGATTTCCATGTGAAATAATCATCCAGAAAATAAGTTACACATGGGAAATGAATGATCACCCACTCCCTACAGAATGAAATGGCCAAGAGAACATATGAAACACTTATAAGCAACCAGCATAACATTAGGTAGAAAACTAGATGTTGCTACATTTTGCAGCATCCTCAAAATGGTCATTACTACACAGTGCAAAACATTTCTATGCTCAACAGTTTATTAAGAATGGTGACAAATAAAAAATGGTTCCAAAATAATTCCAACTGTGGAAAACTTCTCCCATGATGAGCACTTAAAGGTCAGTCTTGTTGCTTTAACAATAAGGCATACTAGAAAGTAAATCTGTGCCTGTTAACTGTATATATGGAGAAGAAAATCTCCACTCATTAGAGATTCTTCAACAGACTAAGAATATCTATGACTCTAAAATGAGACAAACTGAAAGAAGGAACAAAGGGCTAAGCTGCAACGTTTGGAACAACTTGTCCAGCAAATTTGCCATTCCTGCAGGTCTTGTAATCAATACTGCTGTCATACAGAATAGCTCACTCAGAAATTAAATGCTAAATGAAGGACTCCATGAAATCCTACGCCCAGTATTACCCAAGGTTTAGACTAGACGATCATAACAGTCCCCTTGAGTCTTAAAAATCTATGAGCACAGTTAAGAGGAAATACACTTTTGGAGTCTAAGCATGAGGTCTATAAACAAAATTTTGTGGGTGTCCCTGAAGGTTTTGCCTGAAGAAAAGCCAAATGATTCAGCTAGAACTGGAAAGTAGACTGCAACAAGCCCCCAAAACTTCAAGCTCCTGCTCATTTTTTATTTTCTTTATTTCTAGGGAAAAATTATGCACAGCCAACAGAGGAACTGTGACATTGGAAGAGGCTGGAAGAGACTCCAAATTCACTCGGAGAGGAGGTCAGCATGTTCATAAGCAAAATCTTGTGAAAGGCAGATGCTGACCACGTCCAGATTTACACCAGAACACTAACAAAATTTGTTCTTTGAAACTATTTTGGCTTTGATGATCTAAGTAGCTGTGTGAAAGATGTGTTAAACCACATTTTTGAGAGTCGGAGTCTGGATGAATCTGTCCCATTCTGTTCAGCCTCTTCTACTAACTAACCAGAGTTTGTCACTTTGATTGAATGTATGGAGGTTTTTACAACGTGAGGCTCCAAAATCATGTCTTGCCTCATCATTCTTCTTTTCTCAACTGACTTTTTATCCAATTCTGTTGCTAGCCTTATAGCAGCTTATAAAACATCAAGAATTCCCACAAAGCTGGTGCTATACAACTCAGTATTACACAATATTTTTCCAAGTTATCGTTTCAGATGGCAGTTTAAACCACAGGGATCAGAGCTGAGCTTCTTTGTGAAATCTTGTCTGACTCGGCAAAGAGGAATTTCAAGAGGGCGAGTCTAGGACCTCTTCCATGCCACCTGCAGCACTACTTCCCTTTTATGCACATCTGTACGTCTAAGAGTCTAAGATCTGATGAAGTAGAACTTAGGTTTCTTGTAGACAAATTCCAAAATCTTCCCTTAAACTACCAATATCAGGAAGATCTTCCCTACGAAGCTTTTAAAAATATTTTCATTTTAGGTGATCAGGAAACATAATGCAATTACACTTATGAGCATTATAAGCTGACTGAACCTAATGGTAGTTTTCCACTGTATGATGCATTTGGGAGAGTGACTTAGTTTCCTTAAGCTATTAGCTTGAGAAATCATTCCCCATCCTGTCCCCCATGTAGATATTTCTTTGCATTTGTCTCTGACCTGATCTGCGTAGGATCAGAACTTTTATCTATTTTTGCACTTCTTCCTCATGCATATTGCTAATATTACCAGATTTCCAAGGTTTTTTTTTTTCAGCTCATTAGTAAAATGCAATTATTGAAATTAGCCAATAAGTTGAAGTCACATCAGAGAGAATACGGTCAGTCTGTTTCAAACACGAGGATTATATTTTTTAAAAAATAAATGGCTGGGAAATTGTCATTTGTTTCCCATGCTTTAATATTTAATCATAAGTTTTTAGAAAAAAAAATAGTTTAACTTAAAAATAAATTGCTGCTACTTTCCAGACTACTTGAATAAAGCCCTTGAGCTATCACAGAAATAATAAATATAAGCAGCCATTAATGAGTTAAATTGAATTTTAAGGGTCAGATATTGTGACCTTCTGTGCTGACAAATGGCTCTGCCTGTGCTTTTTTGTTGTAGCTTTTAAAAACTTAGGTCACTCCTGTTGCATTGCACTGTCATTTTTTAGGGTAGCCCAGTAAAACTTTTATCCAAAGAAAGATGCTGTTCTTGCCAGCAGGTGACGTTATGACGCACATTATTGCACGCAGAATCTTCATTAAAAGAGTGAAGATCTCATCAAACATGCCAATTCCGTGTCAAATCAACAGCTTCTAAGGACAGGAATTTTCAGAGAGATGGGCTGTTGGTATTGATCAGCACAGTTTGTATTTTTTTTTTTTTAGAAAAAAAAATGTGTGTGTGGAACTAGACTTCTACTTCAGAAGTTCAGTTTAATCTACTGAAACAGAGGAGTAACCATCAGCAAAAATGTAAGAGGTTTTTTGATGATAATATTTGGAGACTTAGTAAAAAGGTATCCCTGATGTGAAAAAAAAGTAAAGTAAGAAAAGTGCTGCTTAAAAATAAACTAATTTTATAATGAAGTGCGTCTCTCACTTCTAGATCCTAGATTGCTTTCCCCCAAACATTAGACAAAATTGCATTGTTTACAAAAATTTATTAATACAAACTTTACACACTTTATATAACAGTTATCAAAGTCCTAGTTATAGATACCATGTGTGTAATAATACTTTGCTTAAGTTCTTTTTTTTTTTTTTTTTTAATACTCATTTGCACACAAAATAAGTTCTCCAAGACTAACATCTACCTAAACTATCACTGCGTCTCGAATCTGCTCAAACTCTGGTAAGGCTGCTGGCGTCTCTAGAAAGTACACAGAGGATAACCTAGGTGATGGCTGCACGATGCTCGCGACTAGCCACGGAAGCGGAGCGGACAAGGTCACAAGCGGGGCGCCGGCAGCGCCCGGCGCCCTTAACACCGCAGGCGACACGAACACAGCGAGCTCTGCCCACGGCCGGAGACGCGCGACGACAGGGACGACTAACCACGCAAGCCGATGTGTTGCAGCATCGTAGGGCCACTGAAAGAGCCATCCGTGAAACTCGTGGCGATTGACGAGGTGAAGAGAAGGCACGAAAGCTGCGAAGGGCGCCCGGACGAGCCCGCCCCGGCGCCGCCGGCGGGGGCGCAGCCCGGGCAGCGCGGGCGGTACCGGCAGCGCGGGCGGTACCGGCACCCCGGGCGGTACCGGCACCCCGGGCCGAAACTCTCCCTCCGCGGCGGCGCAGCGGGGCAGGAGGAGAAGGAGCGATGCCGGCAGGGCTTCCCCCCCGACTTTAATTTTTTCCTTTTTTTTTTTTTTTTTTTTTTTTTTTTTGGGAGCTCTTTCTCAATCGATGTCCTGAATCCGAGGCTCCTTTTGGGTCTTTTTTTTTTTTTTTTTTTCCCCAAAAACACAAAAAGAAAAAAAAAGACCTCGCTAAGGTTTGTGTGGGAGCTGGAAGGAAGCGTTTTACCTATGTGTCCTTCTCCGCCACCTTCCCAGGAGAGGGCACGGGGCGACCCCCGGCTGGGTGCGCCGCTGCTTACTGTTCCCCGGTTGCAAGGCAAGATAGGAGTCCGTACATAGAGAGATGAGGTGAAAATGGTTTATCTCGTTAGAAACCGGACCACAGGTGAATACTACACATTCTTTCATGACAAAAAAAAAAAAAAAAAAAAAGTTTGTTTTATGAAATAAATTTTACTAAGCAATAAGCCCGAATGTAGAAAAATACATTTTACCTCCAAACTCAATAAACAAGGAACAAAAACTTTAGTAGTAGTGCATAATTATTTAGTGGTAGCTACAACAGGGATTCCTAAACTTTTACAATAAGAGCTTGCATAAAACAGAACAAAGGAGTGAGAGAGCATTCACAATCTTTTTTTTTTTTTTTTTTCAAAAAAAAAAAAAAAAAAAAAAAAAAAAAAAAAAAAAAAAAAAAAAAAAAAAAAAAAAAAAAAAAAAAAAAAAAGAAAGAAAGAAAGAAAGAAAGAAAGAAAGAAAGAAAGAAAGAAAGAAAGAAAGAAAGAAAGAAAGAAAGAAAAGCAACTCCGAGCGAAATATGCCAAGGCAAGAACTCTGCTCGTTACACATGAAGAGAAGCATGGAGAGCACTGGAGAGTAACACACTGTACTTTGCATCCAGGTCCAGTACCGAGCTGCTGGGGCAGTTGGGTAGCGGATCGGAGGCGGGGGGGGGCCTCGCCTTCCCTGCACCCCACGGCACCGGCACCGGCACCGGGCGCGCCCGAGGCCGCCCCGCGGCTCTTCCCCGCTCTTCCCAAACGGCTCCTAGCTCCGCTTTGGCTTGTGCTGCAACTCTGCCAGGCCAGCCAGAAGGGCAGTGCCCGGGGCTCGCTATCCTTGCTGCTGACTTGGGAATTAGCAAGTTAGCAAGGGGAGGGTTGATTTCTTTTTGGTTTGGATTTTTTTTTTTTTTTTTTAATCCGTGGGTTGCTGGGGGGGTTAACTACTTCTCCCTCCACTACTGATCGACAGAGATGCACAATTTGGATCGAGCTGTTGTTTTCGCCACAAGAGAATTATCGTCTAAGCTCATTGTTTGAGGAGACACTAGTACAGATACATCTGGAATCAAAGAAAGCAGAAAGAAATCGAAATCTAGAGCAGAGGGGACTGTGCCCCTGCAGAGAGGCTAGTGGCAAAGGAGCCTGCCTTGAGACTCACCGGGGGAAGAATCTGCTTCAGCAATTCTCCCAAATCATTTTCCTCATAATCCCCTGGGAGCAGGGCATCCTTCTCTATGTACAGTAGCAAATGGTGAAAATTAATGTCTTCGACCCTGTCGTGGATAAAAATACTATCCTTTTTAATTTCCGTTACAAAAATAGGAGTAATATTCAAAACAATGATTGTCTTTTTTTTTCTATTTGTTTTATATAAAAACATAAACAGCTCAGGCGAATTCTTGTTCTTGTGCAGGCTTTATATGAAGATTTGTTCTTTAGTATTCGTAATAGTATTTATATATATATATTTATATATTATATATAACTTAATGATTGGTCCACAAAGTAGATCTGTGCGTTTCTCTAGTGCTTTTGTACAAAAGAAAAACAATATTATTATCAAAATATTCATTTAATGGCTTTACTTCATACATAAATACATGTTTAGATAACACAGGAGCGGTGATTGTTCAGTCAGTTTTGAAATGACTTTTGTTTTTGTTTTGTTTTGTTTTGTTTTTTTTTGTTGGGTTTCTCTCTCTCTCTCTCTCTCTTTCTCTCACTCTCTCTCTTTCTCTCTCTTTTTTAGGACTTTGTATACACAGGAGTGGCTGGTTACTCATCGCTACAAATAGGCTACTCGGCGTCCTTTGTTTTTAACTCTTTGTTTATACCTTTTCCCCAGGACGGCTGCTAAGTATTTCTTGACAGCCATTTGTTTCCGGTAGCGGCTGTAGCTGTCCGTGAAGATGCCGTCTATGTGCCGCTTGGTGAGCGGCTCCGCCTCGTCCCCCAGGCCGCTGCTGGCACCGCTGCAAGGGGCCGAGAAGCAGAGGGGCGTCAGGAGGGGCCGCCCGCGCCGCCCCGCGCCGCCCCGCGCAGCCCCGCGCCGCGGGAGCCCCCGCCCGCCGCCCGGCGCGGAGCCGCTGCGGCTCCCGGCGCATCCCGCTTAGCGCTTTGTTCGCTCCCGCCGCCGCCTTTTAAGCCGCTGCGGCGGCAGCAACGCCCACCGCGGAGAGAGGAAAAAAAAATAAAAAAATAAAATAAATGAAAGGAGAAAGGGCGAGACATCCTTACCCGACCCGCTTGGCCATGAGGGAGTGCAGGTATTTCCTCGCGGATAACTGGCCCAGGAGTTTCCTGTAGGCTTTGTTGAAGATGCCATCGGCGTGCCTGCGCGGAGGGCAGAGCGCGCTGAGCGGCGCGGCGCAGCGCGGGACGGCCGCGCGCCCTCCCACCGGCCCCGGCTCTGCCGCCTGCCCGCCTGCCCGCCCGTCCTCCGAGCGGAGGCCCCGGCCCCGGCCTCG